GATCACTCCTCATCTGTGCCAGAAATCCAAATAAGGCCATAGCCGTCCGGTAATAAATCTCCATACGGAGTTCTAAGTGAAAGTTTGTGAACTTGCTAGTACAGACACGTTGAGTGTATTGGGTGTAGAAAGATCTAGAGTTGTTTATGGTGTGAACCCACAGGCTGAATCTCTGGTGTCGTGCCGTTAACGGCAACGGGAGGCTGCACTTACCAAGTGGGGCGGGACGAAGACAAGTCCTGATAAAGAGGTTTCCAAACAAATCTTGTGTTTGTGTGTGTGTGTTGTGATGCCCACTACACATTAGTGTTTGTGTTGTACTCCTAGTGAGATAATGTGTGTGATTGCGTGCCAATATGTGATTTGAGTACATGATTAGTAAGGCCATGGTGTACATACTCACAGCTGAGCGATTCCCATGACTCTCTAGGCTGACGTGGACTACTGATTATTATAAGAGCTGTAGGCGACTGAAGTATTTCCCGGTTGTGTGTTAGCAACTTTGAACTACCAGAAACTAGTTTTTCTCACAGAATGCTGTTCTGGTGAATTATGTCACATGTTTGACAAATATTATTTGTGTTTTCTGCTCTTATTTGGGGATTCCGAGGCAGGTTTTTTTCAGTTTGACAGCTCTCTGAGGGCAGATTGGCATTAAAACCCATACTACTTGCAAAATACTTACTATTTCTTCAGAATGTGGTTTGTATGTTCATAGTTTACAGTACGCATTTTCTGTACCCATGGAATACCAGAATGATTTACTACAATTGCTAAAATGAGCAGTATAAAAAAGTCACACTGCAAAGAATATAGTATCCCAAAGTGCAAGGTCTCTTTCTTGGCTCATTATTTGACTGGATTGCCACAAGTTAATTATTATAATTTAAATGATTAAGGATAAAGTTAAAGTTGGATTCAAAAGTTGTATATTCATTGTATGTCCCAGATGATAGCTGGATGCCACTTGTTGAATTAATCTAGACAACAATCTAGCATACTAATGTTTGAAACATTTATAGTTGCATAATATGTTATCATATTGCTATCAGCAGTTCACATAAATTTTTTTATTTAAATGTGCATAAAGTATAGCTCTTGCACTGGTGGATCATGCAAAAAGACCAGGAACATTTAGTAAGAAAGACATTTTGCTGTAATGTTTTCTTTAAGCCATGTCAGAGGTTTAGCTTTGATCATACAGTGTATATACACTCGTGTGTGTGTGTGTCAGCTGACATTAAGTATTTGAAGGGAGTGTGAATCGGAACACATGTCTTTTAAGTGTTGAGAGACAGAGCCTCAAGCTGTACAGAGAGGAGATTCGACTGGTTTCCCTGTCATTTGTGTCCAAGGCCAAAGGAAAGTTTGTCAATTTGTGTCTCCCTGATGAACGGACCTGCTAATTAATGGTGTGTGAGAATGCTTGCATTAAAACAATCTGTTAAACATGGGAGAATTTTGACACCAGTAAGGAACAAAACAGGATTGCGGTTTTTTCATGGTGCACATCACAGAAAAAAAGAGCATGTTCCCTTGTTAAAGTGATTTTGATTGGTTGAGTTTTGACAGCTAATGCCTTGGGCTGTTTCCAGTGCCATAGATTTTATTTTGTCTACAGCGTTTTACAGTTTTGGCTCACGCCTTTGAGTGATTGAGAGAGGCTGAGGCAATGAGATTACTTTACTTTTCCATACCTCCTCAACATAGGATCACTCCTCATCTGTGCCAGAAATCCAAATAAGGCCATAGCCGTCCGGTAATAAATCTCCATACGGAGTTCTAAGTGAAAGTTTGTGAACTTGCTAGTACAGACACGTTGAGTGTATTGGGTGTAGAAAGATCTAGAGTTGTTTATGGTGTGAACCCACAGGCTGAATCTCTGGTGTCGTGCCGTTAACGGCAACGGGAGGCTGCACTTACCAAGTGGGGCGGGACGAAGACAAGTCCTGATAAAGAGGTTTCCAAACAAATCTTGTGTTTGTGTGTGTGTGTTGTGATGCCCACTACACATTAGTGTTTGTGTTGTACTCCTAGTGAGATAATGTGTGTGATTGCGTGCCAATATGTGATTTGAGTACATGATTAGTAAGGCCATGGTGTACATACTCACAGCTGAGCGATTCCCATGACTCTCTAGGCTGACGTGGACTACTGATTATTATAAGAGCTGTAGGCGACTGAAGTATTTCCCGGTTGTGTGTTAGCCACTTTGAACTACCAGAAACTAGTTTTTCTCACAGAATGCTGTTCTGGTGAATTATGTCACATGTTTGACAAATATTATTTGTGTTTTCTGCTCTTATTTGGGGATTCCGAGGCAGGTTTTTTTCAGTTTGACAGCTCTCTGAGGGCAGATTGGCATTAAAACCCATACTACTTGCAAAATACTTACTATTTCTTCAGAATGTGGTTTGTATGTTCATAGTTTACAGTACGCATTTTCTGTACCCATGGAATACCAGAATGATTTACTACAATTGCTAAAATGAGCAGTATAAAAAAGTCACACTGCAAAGAATATAGTATCCCAAAGTGCAAGGTCTCTTTCTTGGCTCATTATTTGACTGGATTGCCACAAGTTAATTATTATAATTTAAATGATTAAGGATTAAGTTAAAGTTGGATTCAAAAGTTGTATATTCATTGTATGTCCCAGATGATAGCTGGATGCCACTTGTTGAATTAATCTAGACAACAATCTAGCATACTAATGTTTGAAACATTTATAGTTGCATAATATGTTATCATATTGCTATCAGCAGTTCACATACATTTTTTTATTTAAATGTGCATAAAGTATATATACAGTAGTTCCTGCTCTAGATTTGTGATTCATCACTGACCACCTGAGTATTAGCTTTTTATCTTCAGCATTGGTCAAATTGGGAGTTTGATATATCAGAGAATATAAAAACGCTTAATACCTGTTTTCATTTGAAGCATGCTGTTTAAAAATATAGACAAAGCAGTATAGATTTTTTTTATGTTGACCTTCAGTTTCGTCATCATTATATAATAAAAGTAATTATTGGTATATGCATCCTTAGTTTCAACAAATTAAGCTTATATTTGTGTGTGTACAGTCCCGAAGACTGCACCCGTCTCTGCTCTGGCTGCAGTGTTTGCGGTTATCTTTTTAGAGAGCTATATCACACTTGAGCGATAGAGACTTCACTCGAAGGAAGCTCAGAGCCAGCTGCCCTACGCTCTTTGTGCCTCTCCATTCTCGTCTTTGGCAACAGCAGCTGTATTTTTACATTTAGGAAGGAAGTTTGCAAAGAAATTACACCAACCATGTTCCATATAAAGATGAGCATTAAACGGTTTGTATACAGGATAAAGAAATTAGATTCACCATCCCCCGGCTTCGTGCCTTCACTGGTGTGTGTGCGTGGGTGAGGGTGATCTCTCCTGTCAGGGGTCTTTTTGTGACATTGTGCATGAATGAATTTAAAGGGCAGGCTAGACAGCCCATTGATATGGTCATAAAACTCGAGAAGCATGAAGATCTCATTTTTTTTTTGTTTTTTCTAACAGTAAAAACAGCTCTTTGCAATGGTGTACAGAGCCCAAAATTAACTTTATGCCACACCTGGCAAAGTTTTATATGTACTGTATATGTATATATTTTTATGTCCCAGTTGGAAGTGCAAATATTATATATCATACGCAAGATGAGCCTGTTGTCGAAACATCATGAATTTCTTCCTCTTGTTTTGGTTTTGTTGGCTTAATGAAAAAAAATAAGAGCAAAAAAAGTAGGGATGTAACGATTAACCGCGAGCCGGTTGAAAATCAATTCAAATATGTGACGAGATGCTAAATGACGGTTGAGATGCTAAACAAATCGCGATTCATTTAGGGGTAGGAGTTTATATGAATGCATGTCTGAGGGGAACTTACTGTCTTTAGAAAAGTTTAGATGGTATTTTTTCTTTTCATCTTGCCTCTGTATAATGCATATTAAAGTTCATAAGTGCAGCGCTGCTTTGTTTACAGCAGAAACCAGGAAATGCTTTAAGCGCCGCCTGCTTGCAGAGAGTGAATCTGCGTCTCATTCAGCTCTGCTGTTTCGGTTTCATGCAGATATTTATATGTATAGTTTCACAAAACTGAAGTCAAACCGTTCTGTTTTTGCTTCAAATTTCGAAACTATACAATCTAATTTAGTTTAAAAACTGCTCATGTTGCATGTATGCAGCATCTTTGTTTGGATCAAGATTAAAATGCAGTGGTTGCCTCTAATTTTAAAAGGAAAGAGCACAGACAAAGCCTTATTTTGTTTATATGAAGAGATTTATTTGATTTGGGGCTTGTTTTAAAATTTCAATGTAGTTTTGTTATTTACATTTACATTATATTTAAATTGTCATTTAGCAAACGCTTTTGTCCAAATGATTTACAAATGTGGACAACAGAAGCAATCAAAACCAACAAAAGAGCAGTAATATGCAAGTGCTATATTAGTATAATATTATAGTGTTATATTTCAATTTCACAAACAAATGTGCAGCATTTTGTCCAAGCAATAATAAAAGGACACATTTAATTTATAATTTGTCTTAAATCTCCTTTTGTAAAAAAAAATAAATAAATAATCGTGAATCGAATCGAATCGTGAGTTGAGTGAATCATCACATCCCTAAAAAAAAGCCATCACATGGAGTTCTGGCAAAAACAACAAAACGTAAAACGTCCTTGATAAACTTCTGATTACATTTCCACTGACGTAAAAGACATGCACGTCGATTGGATTTTCATGACTCACACAATTTAATTTAAACCAGGTAATGTTGCAATTCCCAAAGTTACAAGCTAAAAAGTAACCACAATTTATATTCTCAGTTGGCTTTGACGAGTGTAAGCAACCTTATTACTTAGGATAAGAGTCAAATGACTGTATCAGCATACTCATGAATCAAGAAACAAAATGATGCTGTGATTATCAAAACGTATTGTTGTTTCATGTCTGACAGCCTCATGTGTGTCTCCCACAGACTCCCAGCGCCTGGGCCGATGAATGCGGAGAGAAGAAGAGGGGCTGTCACAAGCGCTCAGCCTCCTGCGGCAGCACTGACCAGCTAAAAGAGGTCAGGATGCGTTTAGGGCCTGATCTCCTTTCCTTTGTTCCATTCAGCAGAAGCAGGGCCGGGGCTGGACCCTCTCATTGTCTTTCTCTCCCCCTTGTGAGATTGTGGATGAGGAGACGGGGCAGCAACAGGGTGGTGGGAAGGGGGAAGATGGAGGCTGTGTCATTATCATATTATTGGCAGGCTTTAGTGAACCAGAAGCAGCCTGGTGTCACCTCGCATTACACCCTCCCTTCCTCCTGTTTGTGTGTGCACCCTTCCTTCCCCTGTCACATCCACCAGTAGCTTCATACACTGTTCTCTCTATTCAGCCTGTCTTCTTCCTCTCTTCCACCACTTCATGGGTCTCCTCCCTTCATATATCTCTGCTGTGCCTCTTAAGTGCCAGGGTTTCACAGGTGTCTGTACGTACATTATCTTCTGCCACTTGTTATCTCAACTGCCATCTCACCGCTCAGTCGACTCTATACTCTAATGTGTGTACTAGTGTACTACTTCATAGTTAATCATTCTCTAAACAGTGAGCAGGTCATTTGTGCACTCACCGCACACTGTAGGCACATCTGATGGAAACCTAGTGAGCAGCCTACCTAGAAAACATTTCTAGATATCATAGAAGAGTTGACCTGGCATATCATGTTTTATCTAAATTCTAAGGCAGTAGACAGATGTTTACCCCAGAATGCACTGAAAGAAAAATGTTATTTATTTATTCATTACTGAATGGTATTCCAAGAAAATAGATATATACGTTTAAACATCTTGTAGGAATTACAAGATGACAACTAACAGATTCTACTTGGAGCCATTCAGAGCTGAATGGGTGGATGGATGGATAGGTAGGTGGATGGATGGATGGAAAGGTAGACAAATGGATGAATAGGTAGGTGGGTGGGTGGATGGATAGCTAGGTGGATGGATTGATAGGTAGGTGGATAGATGGATTGATGCATGGATGGATGGATAGGTACATGAATGGATGAATAGGTAGGTGGATGGATAGCTAGATGGATGGATGATGGATAGATGAATGGGTGGGTGGGTGGATGGATGGATTGATGGATGGATGGATGGATAGTTAGGTGGATTGATGATAGCTAGATGCATGGGTGGATGGAAGGATTCAGTAGGTAGGTGGATGAATGGATGGATAGGTAGGTTATGGATAGAGCTATGGATGAATGGATGAAAGAATCTGAATGAGAGGAATTGGAAGCTTGTTTAAACTAGTTTTTAACTAGTAAATACAGGTCTTAAGAAGTTCAAAGAAGTAAGGATCTTGTAATTACAGTAATGAGCAGTGATATTTGCTGCTTATGCAGACCATTTCAGATCAATCAAATGTGAGGTTCAGTTTCAGTTAGGGTGCTCCCTTAAAAAGTATCTGCCTCGGTAGGCAGTGAAGACCTCTTGTAGTTTTGGAACAGAGCTATTGTGTCTGGTACAAACACGACATAATGTACCTTCTCAAACGAGCATCAAACAAACACAAACAACTCTTCAATCATAAGTGTTTTTGAAAGCATGTGTTTTGGGGTGGAGAGAGGGTTTGGGTGTTTATTTGTGTACATAATGGATTACTTGAATGCAGTGCCATGAGACAATCAATAATCCCATCTGACCCTGGGCTCTGACTCACCCAGTGCTAGAGTTTAATAAGACATAACATAGTCATTATTGCAGAATAATGATTTATCCAAGCAAGATAGATTTGAATGTTCACTTGAAGTGAGGAATATTGTCTGTCCTGACAATTTCTCTCTCTCTCCATGTTTCAGATTGTGAAGCTGAGGCAGCAGCTCCAGCGCAGTAAACACAGCAGCCGTCACCATCGCGACAAGGAGCGCAAATCTCCCTTCAATGGCAACCATGCTGCTTTCAGCCAGTCACAGGTTAGTTCTTTCTCATCTGCTCTGATCCCTGCAGACCTGGTGGAGGAGTTTACCTGGGGTAGTGTGGTGATGGTTATCAACAGGAACTGTTATTTCTGAGTCTCTCTCTCTCTCTCTCTCTCTCTGTCTCTCTCTCTCTCTCTCTCTCTCTCTCTCTCTCTCTCTCATAGAATGAGTTTTTACCTCTAGCAGTGACCCAGCAACCATAAGCTGATGGTATACCAGTTTGTTTGTTTTTGTTTTTGTTTTTTTTTTGTATTTTTGCCAAATTTAATAGTATGTACTGCATATATACTACCTTTTAAAAGTTTGGGGTCAGTAAGATTTTTAAAATGTTTTTGAAATAAATCTCTTATGCTCACCATGGCTGCATTTATTTGATCAGAATTATGGTAAAACAGTAATATTGTGAAATATTATTACGAATTAAAAGAACTGTTTATTATGTTAATATACCGTATTCTTAAATATAATTTATTCCTGTCACAACAAAGCTAAATTTTCAGCATCATTACTCCAGTCTTCAGTGTCATATGATCCTTCAGAAATTCTATTCTATTCTATTCTATTCTAATATGCTGACTTGCTGCTCAAGACACATTTTGTATTATTAATGATGAAAACGGTTTTCAGGATTTTTATGATGAATAGAGAACAGCATTTATTTGAAATATAAATATTTTGTAACATTGTAACCATCTTCACTTTTGATCGATTTAATGTGTCATGGCTGAATACAATTATTAATTTCTTTAAAAAAAAACTTACTGACCGCAAATTTATGTGGTATTGTACATTATTTGCATGTATTAATTTAGCAGAAGCTTTTTTTCTCCTCGTTGAAAAAAACTCACTAATTTTTTCCAGTAGGCCTACATTGCTTAGCTCATTAAAAAGTCCACACGTTTCCTAAAAGTGCCCATAAAACTTTTCATGTCTTCTGAAGTCATACTGTAGCTGTGTGTAATGAACAGACTAAACGTCTTTACTGACTAAAAGTACTCGGCCAGTCAATGATATATTAATGCCACATTAATGATACACAAAAGAGAGAGAAAGTCTGTTTGTTGACATAAACGTAGCACCGTGCAGTGAGTGCACTTAATGCCATATAAGCAGAGGAAGGAACCAAACACAAACGTTGTGTATTATCAACACAGAAGTTTTGAATCTAAAAAAATGATCTAGGAACTAGAAGTGGGCTCCTGTATCCTCTTTATAATGCCTCCCCATACTTTAAGCTACTGAATTTCTGCATAGTTTCTGCCACGTTCTCTCTCTCACTCATTCTGAAAGCATGTGTGTGGGTAAGTGTGCATACCACTGAGTAAAAGCGTGTCGTGTGTGTGTGTGCTTTGCTTGCACTCTGGTCTTAATTGGCAAGGCCAGGTGCAGGCTTGCAGGCTGTTTCAGCGTGAAAGACCTCTCTTCATGAAGACAGAAACAGTGAATAAATTACTGTGGCCTGTCGCTTGGCCGTGTCTCTCTCCCTCTCTTCCCTGCCTCCGTCCTTTTCTCTCTCTCGCTCTGTTTTGTGTTTGCCCATGAATTAGTCCAGCATGTGGTGAATGTGCCGCACGCCTGGTCTTTACTGTACTATAGCTGTCAGCCAGTCAATTAAAGGCCACACTCTGTCCGGCCCGCTGGATGTTTGTTTTTGGGGCTCGTTGTGCGGCTGGGGCCTTTTTTTTTTTTCTTCTTTCTTTTTTTTTCTTTTTTTTGAAGTGCATGTGGCAGGCTCAAGCACCATCTGTCGTCTCAATGTATTCATCTTTTGTATTTAATCCTCTGAACTGTACTCCGACTCTGCCCCTCTCGCACAAAACACCAGACTATTCACAGCTCGACCTGAATTGGACAAGAATACTGATTTGACCAGCGTAGTCGTACACCTTTCAGATTCCTCACTCAAAGTCTGTGTTCAGAATGGAATACTAGCTTACTATTCACTGGAGGTGCAGTATTCTGTTTACATCATGTTGCCTACAATTTTTTTTTTTTTTTATTAAACGGTACACATTATATTAAGTTAAATATTTGAAACGGAAGTATGAGTCATTGTCACATGACCCCATTACATTCCATGTATAATTAGTGTCATCCCGTTATTAACTTGTAAATGAAAACGGTTGAATTACAATTTGTAATTCAGTTTTGTGAACAAATGTCTTAACTTTTGGCTGTTTAGGTCAAATAAGGAGTCGGAACAAGGTTGTTTACATTGCATTGTGGGATAGCCTTTTCTGTGAAATAACTGATAATAAGAAATGTTTCTTGAGCACCAATAGCATATTAGAATGATTTCTGAAGGATAATATGGCACTGAAGACTTGCGTAATGGCTGCTGAATAAATAAATTACTTTTTAAAAATAAATTAAAATAGTAGTAAAAGTTATTTTAAACAGTAATAGTTCACAATATTACTGTTTTACTGTGTTTTTGATCAAATAAATGCTGCCTTGGTGAGCTTAAGAAAATTATGTATATAAGTTATTGATTTCATGTATATTTTGTTTATTGTTTTCAGAAATGTAGCGCTTGTCATCTGTTTACTCTTTGTGCAATCACCCCCCCCCCATAACCCCCAGCCAAATATACGGCAGAAATAGAAAGGTATTATGTTAGTTTACCGTTAGGTACAACCATACTCTCGTCTCCAACACTGCAAATTGTGGTTTTGCCTGAAAAGGAGAATGATTTTTGGTTTGCTTGAGATGAGCTGCGAGACAATTCATGGTTTCCACCTGTCAAGACCGAAGCTTTTCTCTCTCCTCGCTCTGCCTCGCTCGCTTTCTTCAGCCAGAGATTCGCAGCATAGCCTCAGTGTGAGAAAACATATGAACGTGCTAATCTGCTATTCCAGGAACCCAGACTACCATGTGATCATTTAGCTATACACAAACACACACTCGCATCTGTAAGTGCCATCCCCTCCAGCAGAGATGTACTGTATATGGGGGTGATTTGAATGGTGTATCATTAGTCAATGCCATTTCATTATGCCATCAGATTCCTGTAGTTCTCTTCATAGCAGTCGAAGTGGAGCTGGATTTGTCTTTTGAAGGTTTATTTATTCAGGGAGTTTCTCTGTTGTTTATTAGCCATGATTTGAAGCAGCTGAGGTTGAGTTTAGAGCCGGAGAGATGCCCAGGCCCAGTAATTATAACAAGCATGCATTTATTTGGACGTAAGGTGAGAGGGCATGTTTCTGCACCTCAGGCTGAGTGGTGGTGATGTTTCTCGGCTGAGACATCAGGGTCGGGTGCCGCCCAGTGGGTGATGTAGGCTGTAAACTCTCTCCCTTCCATCACATTGTTTGATGACCTTAGGCACTTAGTCTGACCAAGTTCAACCCCCAAATTTTATCGTAAACTTCCATTTCTTTCTGTCTTCTACTTCCTTTTTGTCTTTGCACTCCGATGTAAAAGCATTTTCTTAAAGAACACACACAGTGTGACCTCTGTGTCGAGGGGGAGGGATGTGTGTGTGTGTACGTGTGTGTGTGTGTTTGTGTCGTCTCACGGGCTGAGTCGGGTATACGTGGGGGTTGTTCTTCCCATTATGTGCGTGGAAAGCAGCTAAAGATGAAGTGGCAGTCATGAAAATGGCATTCTTTCCAGAAATAAAAGCCCTAAAGAGGGGTAATAAGAAAAGAGGAGGAATGAAAGTTGCATTTGAAGACCTTTATGAGAGATCCGGCCATGAGGTCAGCATCTCCATGAGAAGAAAAGCAGGAGAAGAACATCAGATGAGACACAGAAACATGGGTGGACAGCCGTGGAGATGTGCATCTCTTCTTCAGGTTTGGGATCTGCTTTGTAACAGATTGCAGAATCAACCAACTTGATCATAGATTTTAGAGTAGACGCCATATTTGTTACAAATGAATATGAGGTGGTAGTACGATCTGTTCAACCTGTTTTTGTGTACCTAGTTTTAGTCGACGAAAACTGATGACATTTAGTCTAGTTTTAGTCAATAAAAATTGTATTTTAGTCTCTTTTTAGAAATGCAATTCTATTTAACCCAGTCAATATAGTATAAGTACCTAGTAGTATAGACGAAACCAAAATGTTCTTTTAGCCAAACCCATTTCAAACAAGGTTATCTTATTATATTATTGTTACCTTATAGACTCAAGAATGCATCTGTTCCAGACACGAAAGACGCTCTGATTTTAATTTACAACATTTATTTTACCAACCAAACATGTTAGAAGTACACACACATAAATTTAAATAAAGACGAACCCCGGCTTGCCGGCCATCGGTTCCTTTCTCTGTGTCAGACTTAACTTTGTTTGGTTTTCGTCTTCTAAAGCAGTGTTTCCCAACCTTTCTTTAGTGGCGGCACCCTTCGGGAAATTTTAACAAATTTGTGGCACCCTACAAAATTTATTTTGTCACAATATTTGAATTTCTAACTTCGATGTGATAATTTGAAAAGTATAGATATTCGGTACAACAGGGAAGAACTGCAGAATATAATGTCACACAGATATTTTTAATATTATAAAAAAAATGTGTCTATCAATGGTGGCAATCAGTAGGCTCATTTCTAATGAAGAGACCAATTTATACGACAGATTTTAATGTAGGCTTTTATTCATATGTAAACATTGTGAGATAGCTAGTTATAATGGTAATTAAACAAAGTTTTGATCACTCAATGTATTTTTGATTATTTTCTGCTAATTCCAGTGAACAAAAAGTCATGATTATGTCCCAAATTATGCACTTGTACTGTACTTTTTACTCTACCGTCTAGTGTATGAACGTTAAAAGGTTATTTTGTCATCAAACATTGTAGTCTGATAGCCCTTCTCCTTCCAATACATAAGGAAATGCATGAGTGTATGAAGTTTCCAACATTCCACACTTTGTTTTTTTTTTTATTTCTTTGTTTTAAGTGCATTATCCATGTATTTAAAGTACACTTATTGGAATTTTCAGTGAAAACATATAAAAAAAATGTGTCTATCAATGGTGGCAATCAGTAG